AAGGGCGTTAGTAGGTCGTCCATCAAATCTCGGGTCATTGTATCCAATTATGAGGGAGAATCTGCGAATCTATTATGGACGTACGGATCTATCAGTTCATTTCGGATTATACGCCGATGGGGGCCGATGATTTACGACTGTCGAAACGATCAACGGCCGCGATGCGCGATGTTGTGACGCACAGCTACGTGATCAATTTGACCGCGTATGCTTTGATGAAAATGCGCGGGATTTATTACGCTGCAGAGGGGAAATCCCCTATCTCCCCCTCTTTCTCTCTTTTCCTCCTTTTCTGCTTCTTTTCCGGTCAAGTACTACCTCGACCAGGAATTTACTATGATTTTGATCAGGTTAATTCCAATTATTTACCTACAAATCGATTAACTGATCGAGATTAATCTAATCAGGACCATGGGATAAATTTCTGGGTCGAGTTTCCTCATTTTCATACCGCGAGGAGGGGTGACAACCTGTCACTCGGGGAAGCCGCCCTGGCGACACGGAAACTGAGTAAAATACCTCTCCCACCTCGAGGACGCACGCGAAGGAGTCGTTCCCGCGAGGACGAGAGAAACGAGCGGATGAGGAGATGGAAGAGGAGGCAAGCAAGGCTGCAAACGGCCGGCTACAGCAAAGTTTCGCAATAATAAAAAGCGGAATAGATCTCGTGGCTAGTTTGGCGCGTTGTTAACTGGATAATCTCGTCGTCCGAGACTATTCGGTCCGATGTCGGGCCTGCTGAACGTTGTACCGAGTGGCTTTAGACGGAGTGAACGGTCGACCCGATGGAGGACCCTCTCGGTGAGCGCGGATGGGATAAGGAGAGGAGACGCAACGGGCGAGGCAGCAAAGCCGGCTGCTCGGCATGGGCTTGCTTGCTCGCTCGACCACGATGATTCAAAACGCTCTCCGTCTCCCATGCGCAATGCCCGATCGATATGGCTGTTTCTCGCGAGCCCGACACGGGCCTTGATCCCCGTTATCGTCCTCGTCCTTATCCACGCCGTCCTCGCCCCATCGTGCGCACCCTTTCCACTTCGTCGCCGCATCGTGTTGCGGAAGATAAGGAGGGATTCCTCCTGCCGGCGATCGCCTCGACGATGCTGTATACGGGAGAAAGGAACTAAGTGTCCTATATTTCAGAATTTCGAATTTATAACTCGCCTGACAATTAATTGTTGCGATAGACATGACAGAGACGGCTTTCTTCGTGTTAAGGGGACCGGATTGTGCTTGTTCTTTCACAATTTTTTATGACAAACTGAATGAATATGCGAAAGTGTTATTTTGACGTGTATTTATACAATATATAAAGAGAAGAAAAATAAAATTTTGATGATCAAATGCTCAATATAAGTGTATGGTACATGCACTTAAAATATATTTCGTTCTTCTTTTTAAGGTCGTCATTTTGCAGTTATATTTTGACTCTCGGTGGTTCAATTAAGCTGAATAGGTAGAAAATTTCCGTAAACTTGTTGTCGTGTGAACCACTATAATAGAAATTGAGTAAAAGTTAACAAAATTGCAAATATCTTAATGAAATATTGTTAAATTGTAAGTTATTTTATAGTAAAAAAATTAATATTTCAAAATTAAATATTTTCACAAGTTTGTCAGTGGTTCACACGATAACGACGATTGCTAAAAACTCTTGCGACATACGTTGAAATAAAAATATATAGTAACACTTGTAATCGATTAAATAAATTTGTAAGATATTCCATGCACTCCCCTTTTGCTTTAACAATCAATAATATGTTGTAAATTATAACGTGACATACAATTCATCTTCTCAACTTATTTCTATTTAGGTTAATTTACGACAAATTATTGATTACTAAAGCAAAAGAGGAATATAATACACGGAATATTTTACAGATTTATTTAATTGATTGCAAGTGTCACTTTAAAGATATATCTTCTTATTTCAACGTATTTCGCAAGAATTTTTAACATGCATTTTCTTGCTTCTGACGTTATTAAAAAGAGAGTCAATGCGAGGGGCCAGGAGTCTTAAATGAAGAAAATTTTGATTTAAGTAAATATGTTAATGGTACTCATCTAATAAATATTTGAATGACCTAATCATTTTTGAGTATTTTTTTTCTCAGTGTATGTTTCTCAGTATATGAGATCTTCGTAGCCCTCTCGTCGGCCCTTAAGGAGGCAATACCGTTTCTCGGCCGAAAAAGGAGGCTATTTTTGCGAATTTTTTTTTCGGAAACTACGCGGCCGATTATTTTGAAATTTGGTACGCTAAATACTACAATACTATTTTATTTGTATATCAGAATTTTTATAAATATGTACGTTGAAATATAAAAGTTATTGAAAAACACGTGAAACTAAAATGAGCGGTTTTTGTTCCATGGCGCGCATGATATCTCATGACTCGTTAATCTGAAACAAGAAAGCCAAAAAGATTATTAACCTAGGGACATTCAGTTATTGCTGGAACTAGGCATATTCAAAACGGATCGTTTTTCAGCAAGTTGTGGGTATTTGAAAAAAGCACCCTCGAAAAATCGCCTTAAAAATCGACAGTTTTTCATCGGAAATAAATAGGAAAAGTTAATATTTTTTAATTTCGCTAGTTCAGACAAAAATAGCACATGTTTTGAATATGTAGCTATAGGCAGATGTCGATCGGTTCAGCAGTTTGTCTCAAATCGTGCGCGCCAGTTAAAGAAAAGTCGTTTTGAGAAAAACGCGTTTAAAGTTTCAAGTACTATTTAAGCTTATATTTCTTTACTTACGTAAGTTTCAACTTAATCAGCGATTCCAGGCCCATAGAGCAAACACACCCGAGTCGTTCTTTTCTTACTTAGGGTTCATAGGGCCTTCGTGGATCGCAATATGTCTCACGAAATTTTAAACGGCTCGGCGAGCGCCAGATTTGACCTGCGCGCCGCTTCGAATAATAGGCTGTACTCTCTTAAAGTGAATCAGTGAATAGTCACTGATATCAGTTATGAGTATAGCACTGGGCACTTTCAGTGCTATACTTATAACTGCAATCAGTGATGCTTGACTGATTCATTTTAAGAGAGTAACTTACGCAATTTTTCGAATTTTTTGATGCAATAAATAGGAATAGATTCTTAAAAATACATAGTTTAATAAAATGTAAAAAAAGAAAAATCGTTTTTTTGACCAGAGAAACCAGTATTGCTCCCTTAAATATGGGCCAATTTTATCTCGTCCGCCCATATATCGATTTCAATCATTGTATGAATGAAAATTATTTGTATTATCCAGACAGTATATCATACACTTGCAAGAAGCTACATTCTAGCATTCAGTAAAATATCGCCTAACTTTATTCACTCACGATGGAGAATATTAATACAAAATTTTGAAAATTCACTTTGCTGTTACTAAGTCAGTTTTTTAGGTTTCTTAGCTATATAATATTACTCCGATTTTAATGAAAAGGGGATTTAGAGAAGATTTCCAGAATTCTTAGGCAGAAGCATTTATGTTCTAAAGGGATCATTTCGCGATATTGTATCCATTGTTCCTCTTAAGATAAATACTTAAAAGAGCACCTGAGCAACATACTCCTGGGACTATCTAGACCTTATCTCCTCTACTCTGTTTCGAGGAAGGTG